TGTAGATGCCATCGAAGAGGAATTAATCAACCCATCTGATCAACGGCTCTTTGCCATCGCCAATGCAATGCATCAGGGATACACTGTTGATCAAATATGGGAACTCACGAAAATTGACAAATGGTTTTTGCACAAACTGAGAAACATAATTGAATTGGAAAAACAACTTAAAAATTATAATTATTTAGGGTGATCTCAATCAGAACATAATTTAAAAGTATAACTCAAGAGTATCTTAATAATTATTTGCTCGAGATTACCTCCATGTTACAAACTGTGATGCAATTGTCTCGACAATCTCGAACAACTTCATATTCGATTTCCTTCCAACCTTTCATAGATAGTTCAACCAGCACTTGAGGGCTAGTTGCAAAAGCCTTAGTACAGAGCTCAGTTAACTGTGTTTCGTTCTCGGCAAATCCAGAGCCTAAACCACCAAGAGCATATGCTGCACGACATATGACTGGGTAACCAATTTTTTGCGCAGCATCTAAAGCTTCTTGTACATTAGTAGCAGAAGCAGATTTTGCACATCTTTCATTTATTTCTAGCATTTTTTGTGCGAATAGTTCACGATCTTCCGTGGTAATTATTGTTTCTATTGGTGTACCCAATACTTTAACACCCAATTCCTCAAATTGATCTTTAAGTTTGATGCCTACATTCAATGCAGTCTGACCGCCAAATGTTACATAAATACCATCAGGTTTTTCATGTTTAATAACTTTAAGAACAAATTCAGGATTTACGGGGAGAAAATAAACTTTATCGGCAAGGTACTGTGAAGTTTGTATAGTAGCAATATTTGGATTAATTAAAATAGTATATATCCCTTCTTCTTTCAAAGCTTTAATAGCCTACAAAAAAAAAAAAATTTTTTTGGTTAAAATTTATCAACGAAGATGCAATGACCAGAATTAATTTTCATACCTGACTTCCTGAATAGTCAAATTCACCAGCTTGACCGATACTCAGCCCCCCGCTACCCAGAACTAAAACTTTTCGAACATTAACACGTGGATTCTTTCTTGAATTCTCACTCCTCATACCACCAGGCATTTGTATTGGCGCCAAACACCCTGTCAAGCCGAATTGCTTTACACTTTCAATAAACACATCAAACAAAAACTCAGTATCCTTTGGACCAGGAGTAGATTCAGGATGAAACTGAACAGAAAAGATTGGCAGAGATTTGTGTATGATTCCTTCATTTGAACCATCATTTGCGTTG